CCCCCGGACTCCTAACCCCCACCCCCTAAACTCCCACCCCTAACCCCCTATCTGCATTTGGATTCTGCAAATATCGCAACCCGTGTAGCGAGTTAGCGCCGTATCAGCAATCCAACTGTCGAGGTTGTCGGACTCTTTCCATGTGGATTACGTAGATATCAAAGCACTACCCTTCTCATAATCCTTCCCGGCCAGTCTCCCATCCCACATCTTACCCAGCCGAACCTTGCAGAAGCGTATGCAGGTGGCGTCGGTACATATCGGTGGATATATATCGTCGGATTCTCAACGATTCACAGGGTGGCCACAACTTTGCCTTGCTCCCCGGGATCTTGATCGATGGAAGCCAATCCGAATAGAAATGAGACTCGGCCGAGAAATCCAAATCGGCCCCAAAGCCATAACCGTAGCCGTAAACTGAAATCTGAATTCTTCCTCTCCTACATCGCCTTCTATTGGCTCGGGAGAATTTCGCGCACGAGTTTGCCATTTGCCTCTGAGGTAGAAAGTGGATTTTCATCTTGAAGTTTATCATCAGAAGAACGCTGGCACATAAACCGATGTCATGGGGGGACAGAAACCTTGAGACAAGCTTTCGCCACCCAAGACTATAAAATGAGAGGTTTTCCCCCTTTTCCCGATTTTTTGTTTCCTCTCCCCTTTCTTGACGTTCGGGCACTGAGCGCGTCCTGGAACCAGGATAACCTCCCTGATAGATGCAATCTTGTTAAAATCAATAACATACGTCTTTAGTATCATATACCTTCCCCAAACAAAATGAAGTTCTCCACCTTTTTGGCAGTAGGGGCTGCCCTTGAATCTGCTGAGCTGCTTGTTGCGGCTGCGGTCATCCGCCGAGACAACCCGACGACGACTTCTTGGGCAGAAATATCAGAAGCGACAACGTCAATGCCAGCGGCTGCACTCACAGCGGCACAGACAACGACTTCATGGGCCACTCTCTCGACAGCTAATACCGACAGCCCTTGGGTAACTCTCACGACAGCGAGTCCAATTCCAACTAAGGTGGACGTTGACCGCCGGAACGTTGACGTCGACCGTCGGAACGTTGACGTCGACCGCCGGGACGTTGATGTCGACCGCCGGAACGTTGATGTCGACCGCCGGAACGTTGACGTCGACCGCCGGAACGTTGATGTCGACCGCCGGAACGTTGACGTCGACCGTCGGGTTGTTGACAAGGTCGACCGTCGGAACGTTGACGTCGACCGCCGGGACGTTGATGTCGACCGCCGGGACGTTGATGTCGACCGTCGGAACGTTGATGTCGACCGCCGGGTTGTTGACAAGGTCGACCGTCGGAATGTTGATGTCGACCGCCGGGACGTTGACGTCGACCGTCGGGTTGTTGACAAGGTCGACCGCCGGAACGTTGATGTCGACCGTCGGGGTAACAAGGTCGACCGTCGGAACGTTGACGTCGACCGTCGGGTTTGTTGACAAGGTTGACCGTCGGGAACGTTTGACGTCGACCGTCGGGTTGTTGACAAGGTTTGACCGCCCGGGACGTTGATGTCGACCGCCCGGGTTGTTGACAAGGTCGACCGTCCGAAATGTTGACGTCGACCGCCGGACGTTGACGTTAACCGTGGAACCGTTAATGTCCGACCGTCGGGTTGTTGACAAGGTCGACCGTCGGAACGTTGACGTCGACCGCCGGGTTGTTGACAAGGTCGACCGTCGGGACGTTGACGTCGACCGCCGGGACGTTGATGTCGACCGCCGGGACGTTGACGTTGACCGTCGGAACGTTGACGTCGACCGTCGGGTTGTTGACAAGGTCGACCGTCGGAACGTTGACGTCGACCGTCGGGTTGTTGACAAGGTCGACCGTCGGAACGTTGACGTCGACCGCCGGGACGTTGACGTTGACCGTCGGAACGTTGACGTCGACCGTCGGGATGTTGACAAGGTCGACCGTCGGAACGTTGATGTCGATCGCCGGGACGTTGACGTTGACCGTCGGAACGTTGACGTCGACCGCCGGGACGTTGACGTCGACCGTCGGAACGTTGACGTCGACCGTCGGGATGTTGACAAGGTCGACCGCCGGAACGTTGACGTCGACCGTCGGAACGTTGACAAGGTTGACCGTCGGGGTAAAGTGGACGTGGATTAAAATGTTGTGAAAGTTATGTTTTATGTTTGACTCTTCCTAGTGGATCCTTAGCATGTTAGATGTTTTGACATGCGCGTATGGGTCTTAGATATATGGAATGTATTAATAAACGTCAATAAGAGATAATATTGTAGCTTAAAAATCCTTTTTCTTGTCAATAATCAACGTAGGTTGAGAAGTGCACAAGCTTAAGGTAATAAAATGCCATACGTAGGTAATGGAGCAAAAAGCGATCGCGTTCAAAATATAAAAGTCAGAAAGTACCTTACATACCTTCAATGTCAGGAACTTTCAATGCAAGGCATATGAACGGGAATAGAAGGATAAACATCGCAGTTCAAGCTGCGTTGTCCAAACAGAAGGCAAACGGTAGTAAGACACCCGGTTTCAGGAACTTTTCACGATTCCCCGCACCCTTTCCCAAGAAGCTCACAGCCTATTTCTTCTAGAAGCGGTTTCTCCACTAGAGCCTTCACCTTCATCTTCTCGACAATTTCCCGAGCTTCCATCACCCTACACAAATCCACAACCTCCCCATCCATAGGGGCAAGATATACAAACAGACCTAGTGATAATAGGTGCCCACGGAGGCTTTCTACGTTCTCAGTCTCCAGTCTGATAGCTTCAAGTAGAGAAGCTACCAGCTCTACCTGGTCTGCTTCAGGTAGTCGATCCGGCCGTTCATCGATTCGTTCGTTATGGTTGAATGCCGCAAGATTATACATCAACGAAGCGCCGGTTGCGCGCAGAGGAATGTGTGCGGCGTATAGGGACGAAGTTGCAAGTTTTATGCATGTCTTGCGCAGGGTATCATGGGATACTATTTGATCTAGATATAGAGGTGATGAGAAGAGGTTGCAGACCAGTTGTGTCATTACAAGCTGCTGGTTGTAAGGGCAGTTTGACAGATAGCTTGCACCACCCAGTAACGTTAGTAGAGTTGTATGATCGTGCTCCTCTGCAAAGAACCCGCTGACACGGGAGTCAGCAAATGCAACGCGGGCTAGATCAATCACTGCAAAGTGAACAGCAGACGGGAGAGAGGAAAATGTTGATTTGACGAAGTTTTGCAAGGAGACATTCGGTAGCGCTGCATCTGCTGGACAACTGCTCTCTCTCGATTTGACGAATGTGACAAGCCCCTGAATGGCTGGGTCATCCCCTGTAGCACCCAATTTTTGGATCAATTTATCCAGTGGGGGAACCTTCTTATACAGTATGTAGGAGCCAATGGGCCTCTCTAAACTCGGTAATCGCAGTCGCCTGTGAGGGTGAGGTGGCCAGGCCATTTCGATAAGTAGTCGAACGCTGCCGCGCAGCTTTCCCTCGTTCGCACCACTCCACTCGTTTTCTTTTTTTCCCTTCAGAAACGTCATGAAAGTTGGCGTCGCTCTGACGCTGTATTTCGTAGAAATGCCGTAGGCGCGGGATAGATCCACTTTGATAAGGATTGCTTTATCGCCGGCTGCCTCTGCAAGTTCGTCATAGACTGGGTACATCATCTTGCATGGTGGACATGTGGCGGATGTGAAAAATATAACGGCGCATGATGAGTTTGCGGAGGCCAAGAGTTCGTCTAGCTCCCTAGTGGTCGTCACATTACGAACATAGCCTTTTTGTGCCAGGGGAGCATGATCTGAATATGTCGGTATTGACCGCGCAAGGCCACTTGTGACAGCAGGGATGGATTGGTTTGTACCAGCTGAAGAAGATACCTCTGGCCCAGGAGCTGCTCCCCGAAGCATACCATCAATGTATGGCTTCATCATTTGACCAAAGGGAGTACTGAGGAAAGTCTCAGGAAGGTTTCTGATATGATCAGGAATGCCTTTTCCAACTAGAAACGTGGCGAGATCATGGGTGAAATTGTTGCAGTTTCGCAAGAAAAGATCATAAGACTGTCGGGGTTTCTAATGTTAGTTTCTTTTCTATACACGTGGGAATATGGAGTGCACATGCATCTTGTGTGTATACTGCTGCTAAAGATTCCATGTACTCAATTACCACCTCTATCGGAAGTTCAGAGGTTCCCATGTTAATCCTGTCGATGGGGTCGCCATGGTGCGTCGTTCCAGGGGGTGCTTGTTGAATGCCTCTACCAAAGAAGTACTCTATGCCCCCGAACACAAGAGACGTGTGATATATTGCATCTATCTGGGTGCCTGTTATAGCAAGTGAAAGCTAGGGGACGTCAGCGGCGGGAGCTGGCATAAGATGGGAGAGTGGATATCAAGCTCAAAGCTTTACTTCTCTTGCAAGGCCCTAAATGTATCTAGTTAGTTGATGCTCTAACGGAAACAATACCCAAACAAATCATGTACCTTTGAGATATCATAAACATATAATTCAACTTCCATAATGTTTTTGGATATGGTGGGGTTTTGTTGAAGTGGGGAGCGGAGGACATCAGAGTGTGGAATATTCCACGGCGTTCCAGCAAGCGCAATAGCTAGTTATATGAAGAGCCCGTACAAACCAAATTTATTGTCGGACTAGCTAGAAGGAAGAGTTTATTTTAGTAAATCAACATGAATCAAATCTGAGAAAATGAATGTTTATACAGCGGTATTTATATCGTCTATATCTGCCGGGCTACTATCGTACATAAAAGTCGAAAAGGCAAGCTGAGTAACGGACTTGTGGGTTGATTAGTCAAGGAAATAGTTAAGCGCATTAAACGCGTTCTGCCAAGGCAACCCACCAACGTCACTATGCGGACAACCGTTCTGCAGCTCTCAGTATTAAATTTCAAACCCTAAATATGGTGAGTAATGAACCAGGTACATGTATGTCCAAGAGTGAACTCCCAATCTAATGACAAGGAAAACCCCAGCCTCCAAAACGCCGCAGCGCGGCGCCATCCGCAGGCCCCAGAGAGAAGCGAGCCCGCCAATCTAAACTAGCCAAAGAGAACGACATAACTGGAAATGAAGAGGCCGAAATCAAAGAAGCATTCCACCTCTTCTCCTGCAAGAGTGACGAATACCCATCCGAGAGAGAAGGCGTGATTAGAACCAGAGATGTCCATCGCGCACTCATGTATGTTGATTGCATTGATCGCAATCCCGTGCATCGTTGCAAAAAGCTCCGAGACTGAATCAAAATAAGCAAGTTAACCTGTATATTTCCTTCTAGAGCACTAGGTCTTCCCCCAACGAACGCAACAGAGCTATCCTCCATCATTGCCGCCGTGGACCCCAACTCCACCGGCCTTGTCACATATGAGCCCTTCCTATCCCTCTGTGCGTTGAAGCTGCACTCGCGATCCAAAGACGCTATCTCTGCTGAAGTTGAGCATGCCTATAAGTTGTTCACGCGTGGCACAGCGGGGCCAATATCAGTGGGGCATTTGAGGAAGGTGGCACGTGATTTGAAAGAGGATGTGAGTGAGGAGTTATTGAGAGATATGATTAGGGAAGCGAATGGCGGGGACGCATTGCATGCCGGTGTCTCATTAGAACAGTTTAGGGAGGTTATGATGCGAGCGGGGGTGTCTTGATTGGGTTAGGGGTTGGAATGGGGTTTGGATTTGGGTTTGGGGTTTTTGTGGTAGATTTCACTCATGGGTGATACGGTGCTCTGGATGTTCCAGCGACGGCGTTCGGGATGATCTGATAAACATGCTCAGGTACATATTTCGATATAATGGAGATAAAAATAATATATGAATTAAACTTATACTAGAGACTGTTTTGTGCAGTGCGGTGCACCCCCTTCCCAAGGAACCACCATCATAAGCGTCCGAGTCACGTAAAATAATCGACGCGCCCAACTGATCTATATACACGGCGTGTGCTCAAGTGTAGACTTATCATCATCCCATAACTCCGCCGAACAATCCTAAATCCTAAACGCCAAAACGAATGCCGTGCAGGGCAAATAACGAATGTGTTAGACTTCTATTCTGTCCCATGTTTTTAACACAGACCAAAATTCTAGCGGGGCCGCTACAAGTCGCCACCCCAATGATACAAATTGTCTTTTGAAACTGGATATGGACACAAAACCGCATCCACACCTCGATTATCAATGACACATATGGAACGTCGACAATAAACTAATACAAACAGGAATAGCTAGCCATAATCATCGTAATGCTGTTACCACGGAGGGGAGGGTCTCCCCGCTCTTCTCGAATGGTGCCACCGATGTCTTCATCGCTGGAGCAAGTTCGATTTTATTTGCCGTGGAAAGATTGCTGTCTTCACTGGAGAGCGAGGATGAAGGTGTATCAGACGCTTCGGATTCTGGCGGGGAAGGATGGCCCGCAGAACCAGTCGATGTCCCTGAAGAGTCGCATAGGGTTTCTTCTTTCTTATCAGTATGGCGAGAGAGTAAGGCACTAGTTGATTCACATTCTTGAGAACTGCATGAAAGCTCCTCTAAAGGGATACCTTCCTCCTCGGATTGGCTCTGATCGGCTTCTCCAGTCGCTGAACCACGGGACTCGTCTATGCATTCGTAAAAGAGCATGAATACGCCTCCCTGAGAGAGCACATTGTTCTCACTGACTAAGCTGACATTTTCATCACTAAGTCTGAACCAACGTTCCGCCCTGTCCTTCTCTCCATCCGCATCCAAAACCGCCTTGGGGACAGAAGTGGGAAACAGTTCCATGGAGTATTTTCGATAACAGATATAATGCCCATTTTCATGTCGACCGTAATGCGTTATAACAGCGCGCAGCTCATAGCGTCTGCTAAGCATTTCCGAATTTGTTCCAGGACGAGAAAGCATGGACTCTGAAGGATCTATACCCCAGTGCTCTGAAATCTCGTCGTCTGTTTCGCCCATCGATCTTGATCCCAAACACCATTCACCCAAATCTAAAACTCTAGGAAATCTTACATCTGCAGAATTTTTCCGAAGCATGCCGGTCATTTCATTGAATACACTCCGGTTGACATGGATTACCAGAGACTTGGGTGCTCGTGCGATGACAGCTTGCCTCGATTTGGTGGAGGAAACACGATTGCGGGCTGGGATATGGCACTTCTCAGATAAAGTCTTTTCAGAGAAGTCCTCGTCCTCGAGAGCTTGTTGGACAACTTTTAGCCTTGACTCTGCCGAACTTCGCAGGGCTTCGGTCAATCGAGGTGTAGTGGTTCCCTCCTCAAGTTCCGCATCCGAATCGATCTGTTTCAACAGCTGCTCTAGCTGGCCTTGGGTTCGTAGAAGTGTGCATTTAGCGCATTCGACACCTTCAATAGGCTCTAAGGCCGTATACTCATCCAAGCATTCGCGGATATCATATTCCCAATTAGAGCCTAGGGGAACCGTAAGACAGTTAAATGGGATAAGAGAAAGTCCCTCAGTCCACCCACATTGCATACAGCCAACCCGTTGAGCAAGAAGGCCCTCGAGTGGATTGCGGAAGGAAGAAGTATACTCCCCGTACGCTGGAGGTCTTTTGAGTTGGTCTTTCAAGTGCCGTCCTTCGTAGGCTGAAAAGGGACCAACTTTATGACCATTCCGTTGAGTATCAACAAATCTTAAGCCAGCATCACTTGTTAAACCCCTGGAAGCGCGGCGTAATTCCTTATCGACTTGGTCAACCACTTTCGAAAAGTATTCCTGCGCATCTTGTTGCTGCCAACTGCTCATAGACTTCAGTTCTGGAGGAGTCCATAACTTTCGACCACCGTAAGCTGGACTGTTTAGCTTGGTAATTATATCCCTTAGCGCAGCGTGTGTATAAAACGGATCGCGATCCTCCAACTCGCGGATATTCCCCTCCAAAAACCTATCCAGCGTTCGTAGCGAAGCGAATCCTTGGATGATGCTATTTTGATAGCAGGAGTTATCCCAGTTGCCAAGTCCGGGAGGACAGGAATCTTTAATTCCCAAAAAGGCCTGTCCTATCCCTGTGAGACTCCTGCCCCGCGGAAAAGTCGTGAGTATCGAGTTCGTATCCAAGCCGAGAATCCTCTGCATGGCGTCACTCTTCGCGGAATGGCGAGCTCTGCGTGTTAGCGAGGAGTAGGCGTCCAACTTAGCGGGATCTCGATCAGGAGAGCCTTTATCTAGAGCAAAAACGAAGCGCGAAGGAGTAAAGAAGACGATGATGTTCCAGACGGTTTGGAAAAAGACGGAAGTGAGGAGGCCGAGGTACATGAAAATATAATAGCCCAAAAGCACGGATATGGCAAAGTACGTTATCTTCGAGCGGTCAGGTATCCATTCACTGAAGAGGTCATTGCGATAGCTATTCTTCAGGGGAGATGTGGCGAAAAGGTGATGGTGTGGGGAGGACTCTGGGGGCCCGAGCATATTTCAAGCGAGATAATGCGAAGCAACAGAATGCTGGACTTGGATGCTGGGCAAAGCATCAGGGTTTGTCAAGCCGGTAGAGCAGGGAAGCTACTGGCAATCTGCATGTTCAGGCCCGTCCGATGTGCAATATACTATTGTAGTGGAGGTTAAAAACCGCGATATCAAAAGAAGCTTCGTTGGTATGTACTCCGTAGTGAGGATGTTGATGGTCATCTCGAGGTTTGATGTTGGAAGTTGAAGGCGGGAGAGAAAGAGCTTTGACCAAGGGAAAGATTATTCCGCCCCGGACTGGTATGGCGCTAAGCCCATTTGGGACTAGACATACAAATGCTTGTCCAACTCCGTCTCAACAGCAGGGTATACGAAGTCCACTTCTAATATGTGGTTGAATAAGACAAGCAAAATCTAGACAGGTACCCCATCATGGCGAAAACCCCGAAAATGAAGGCTAGAGCCCGTACGTATTATACCATGGCATTTTAGGCTATTCCAATGTCGTCTAACTTTTGGATTTACTTCACAGTCAAATCAATTCACTCCAGAGCCGCGAAGCGAGCCGCTTCTCCAACTGATAAATCATTATTGACTTCTCTTCCCCGGCCTGAACCAACTGCAACAGTCAAACCTCATGTTCTGGCTGCAAAACATAATGCCGGTATTACGAAAAAATCGAAATCTAAACAGCTGACCCGCGCCCAGCGAAGGCGGCAGGAGAAAGGTCTCGAACGCGCGGAGCTTGTGATCGATAGGACTGAAAAGAAGGTGGCAAAGAGAATGGGGAAGGCAAAAATTATAAAAGCGCGCAGGGTAAGGGATTTATATTTTCGGTGCTTCCTTTTGTTAGCAATTTCTTACGAGTGGAAATACTAATTCCGAAGTAGGCGACATGGGAAGTGATGAATGAAAGGGCGCTTGCTGCGGACCAAAGTAAAGTAGCTTCGTTAGATGACGGAGACGATGCCGACCTCATGGTGGAAGATGAATCCAAAAGGACAGCTGCACCGCTAGCAACCAAAGCTACCAACTCCTTGGGGCTGCCTCAGAAGCCAGCAATGGACCAAAAATTTGAATTTGAGGAAGATGGAGAAATTACCTAAGAGGCCTATATACTGTGGTATCTGACATTTCGAAAGAATAAAAGCCAAAGAGAAAGAAAGCAAGAAAAGTACTCAGCGCTCTTGGTAGATGGACTCTTTATTTCTTTGGCCTTAACTGGTTGATCATTCGGTCGATTTCACTCACCGCTATGCCCGATGCCTTTGCCCTTAGAAGTTCGAGGCTGCTGATATCTTTGGCCTTAAGAGCCTCTTCCCCTGCTCTGACAACCATCCCGCACCCCACCCACATCTCGATTCTATCAGCGACAGGCAGGTTGGTGCATTTTGGGATAAATACTGAGGCAAGCTTGGTATTTCCCGCGCCCAGAATTTCATTGTAACAAGGCTAGGAGGGATTTGGCGTTAGATCGGCTCCAATATATATAGATTAATGAATCATAAATGACTCATAAAAATAAAAAGCAAAAAAAGCAAAGACTTACCTCCCAACCAATCGGGGATTTCTTGAGTTTTGCAAGTTCCTCCAGCTCTCCCCAGTCTCGCTTTGCTACCAAAGCCCTCAGTCTCACCCACCAGAATGACTTCTCAGGTACCTTGAATTCACTTTGGATTTTATTGGCACGTTTCCCATACCCAGACTTTATCAATTTGTATATGGTTTCGTTTATACTTAGGCCAACAAATTCACTACCACCATCAGCAATATCTTTGTCCAATCCATCTTGGATTTTCAAGAGCTGCGCAGCTTCTGTCAGTGACTTTTGATGTGATTGCACATTTGCGTCTTTCGAATCCGCCAATAACCTGGATGCTAGTCGTAATTTGTCTTCCATAGCCTGCGGGTCCGGTTGTGCCAGAGCTTCTCTCAAAAGGAGGTTAGATCCATCAACAGGGCGATCATCCTGGTAATACAAATCCTTGAGCAGCTCCACATCCTGTGATCGAGCGGATGCCTCCACCAAAGCGGATGCAACGGGCCGAGTATTGATGGCTCGGAAAAATGCTGCCAGGGGAAGTTTTCGTTTAAGCTGTAATAGAACAAAATATATCAGATCCGTATCGCCACTTTCTATAGCTTTGTCCAGCGCTAGGGTATCTTCCTCCATATTTAACAGCAGAGGCACTTGTCTTCCAGCCCGCGGCTCAAAATTAAGTAACTGGGTGGCTAAGTGGCCACGACCCTCATCATAAGCTGACTGAGCGATCGATTCAAATGATATTCCTCGCTTCCCTTGAAGTTTTTGTACAACCAAATCGCAAATGGTGTCATCATCTTCAGTGGAAGTCTTGACCTTTTCACTTGCCCAATGGACATATATTTTATCCGTTGGAAGATGAAGATATTCAGAAACCCGGATTGCAAGAAGATATTCGTGACGGTTGATCAGTCGTTCAATCAGTTTCTCCGGGGTTAGGCGGAGGTATTGTTCATACGAAATGGGTATGCCGATCCGATAGTCGCGTACAGCATTTAACACCCGCAGTCGCTCGCACATGTCCACAAAGTCATCACTGTTGTAAAGGTCAATAACCGACTTGCCAAATGATGCGGCTTTAAGCAACTGCTTTTGCCAGGAGGTATTAAATTCGTGGCCTGCTGCTTTGACACAGGTATCGACGGCTTCGAGCAGGTTCGACCGGATGTGCTGAATATTTTCATCTGCTTTCGGTGATTTCTTTTCGAGGAGCCCGACTGAATCCAGGAGAATAGAAGCAGGAGACGTCGATCCTAATTTAAATACTTCCTCCGTAACGTCTGTATATAACTTAGTTAAGGTTCTCCATTCCAAATTAGTTGGATAGTAGATACCATACCTGGGACCTTGTGTAGAAATTCACAAGCGTCATTGGTGAGTAATCTGACCCCATCAAAATCTGGAATTATATGGACGCGGCCATCATAAAAATACCTCAACAGATGTTAGTGGTAAACTGGACTGAAAATGAACGTAGTGGATGCCAACCTAACAGCAACTCCGTTGGGGCCAACCATATGAACTTCGTCCTCCCATGAGAGAACAACAGAGTCGTTGCCGCACCATACCACGTTGTTTGGTGGTGTTCGGGCTCCGGAATTATATTCGCTAAGTTTGTTTTGGAAATCGCTGCTCACAACCCACATTTTCCCGTCGCCGGTGTACAAGGCGACAAATCTCCCATTTGGGGATACGCTAACGTGCTTGAATGGACCGTTCTGTAACATTCGATCCTCCGCCTCTGTTGCATCAACAACATAGATAGTTTCGTCGATTGCCAGAAGAACTTCGACTGATCGCGAGAGGGAGTAATTTGGAGGAATCAACGACCATGACGATACCTCTCCTGCAGGTGGGGATGCCAGCAATTTGGGACGTGGTTCATCGTAGCGAGAGACTGCAATGAGCTGGTTGTTATATAAAAGAGCAACAAAACCATCCGACCAGAAGCGACAGGCCTTTACTCCATTCTCCTCTGCGGCCTACGTCATCAATCAGTACAAGGCACAGATTAGACTGGTTTGACACAGGGCTATACGGTTCCTAGAGAAAAGGGTGTGAAGTCTCCATGAAGACCATAATAGCACCGCACCGTGCCGTCTTGGGTCACTACAAGGAGCTTCTCATCATCAGACCAACCCAGGCCACGAATTGCAGCGTGTTCCCCCTAGAAAAAATATTAGTGTAAACAGTTCAAACTGGACCAGCTACGTGTATAACAAACATTTATCCGGCTGATTCGTTGGCCAGAGCAGGAGTATATATCAATATATGATTTCCCCGTCTCTGCATCTCTATATCTCTGGAGCTTGTTTTCGTCGCGATAGAGTGCTGCCACTCCTATCAGAAAACGGAACACGTGCATTACCATTGAGATTTTCAGAAATAATCACCTATCGATCCTCCGTACGGAGCCCCCGCAACAATGAAGTTTTCTAGCTCAAGGTCCTCGTCGAAGACGGCATCGTATACTCGGATCTTCCTATAGAATCGGTCTCCGACCTTCTCCCAGTCAGCCAGAGGGTTTGTGGGTGCCATGGGAATTTTCCAACATTGGCATCAAATAAAAAACTGTATCGTCATCGCATAATATCCCTTTCTAGATATGAACACCGAACATAAATAACATGGCTTTGCGTACGGAGAGCGTCCAGATGAGTGATATTGAGGTCAGGAAATGATTATGTAATTCACAATACAAAAAATACGGTAATGAAATAGCATATTTATAGTAAAATATGATAGGTTTCCGTAACTACATCATGCCTGGAAGAACTGCTCGGCTCGGACGAGTCAATAAATGTACTAAACCTCACCGCTCCCTCTGATGCTGGCACCCATGGTTGTCTGCTTTAAGTTCGCTGGATGAGAAATGCATGTTTGTGTATGATGGAGTATTCTGATCTGTATAACAAAATAGAAGACCTGTCCGATCTTGAAGTTGTGGTGCTTCTTAGCCTTGTTGCCCGCGAGCATTGCATCATTGATACGGAGGGGGAGGCCCTGGATGACCTGGAAAACGAGCTTATATTGGTAGGCAACTACCCACTGGAAATATATAATTGCATACACTGAGTTTACGTCTGCTAGATTGCCCGGGATATCTTCGGGCTTTCGCACGCCACGTTGAATTGTTCCCCTGAAACAACCCTAGAGGAGTTCAGTAATGCAATCCTAACTCCCGATGTCGAGAGACCGGATTATGATATACTGTCCTCATTTACAAGCTGTGAAACCGGAAGAGTAAGACCGACCTTTTTTTGATTTTTCTTTTGCTTTAAGGGAACCTCGTGCCTATTATTTGACTTAGAATGAGGTTTCTTTCAACTCCAATGATCAATGCCGGTTTAACGTTATGATAGAATGCCGAACGATCAACCATTCGAAGTGGACAACTGTCTGCAGACAAGTCTAGCTCACAAGTGCCAACAGGCAGTGTCGATGATCGCAAGATAGTCAATGTTGTCATTGCCAAAAATTTCGATCGGGCATCTGATGAGATCCAAATACAAGCTCTTGACGTAAGATGATCTCTTAATCTTTGTTAGGTAGAAAAAGAAATAGGCAACTGATCTGAGTAAATAACCAGCTCATTCGAACTAGGCGAATCTATACGCGGGCCGCTTTCCATAGTGCCCCGAACACGTTTCTTTTCATTCCACTTGTTGAATCCAAGCTTCAACCACTTTCTTCATCCTTCAACCGTCACTTGGTGAGTTGGCAGTTTATCTGACTTACATTTTAGGAGAGTTGATGCTAAACTGTATAAAGTGTGATCATATTTTCATGTCATATTACCATGATCCCCAAAACGGATTCGCCAATCTGGAGGACAGCACTGGATGGTTCCCGGATGACCAAGGATCGATGTCTTCTGTTGTGCGGAAGTCCAGCATACCACTGTTCGAGAAGCCCGACCAGGCCTATGTAATCTGCGATGAGGTATAGTATCTTTTACTATTCTTGTTGATACATCTCCAAAGTTTTGGCATATCACTAAAATATCTCTAGCATATCAATACATTGCGTCAACTCAGTAACAACGTTACCATATCCGCGGATGTAAACTGCTACCTTCAAAATATTATCGTTTTCCTCAGGATGAATCGCGGTGTGGCATCTGGAATAACTTCCATTTCCTCACGGCATTTTTACCTACTTGCTCGGTTAGTGAAACCTGTTAACCTGTCAATTAGAAAACACAGCCACTTATATTTTGAGTAGATGTCTTGCTCCCTTGCAACGTGTCGATTATCTTTTTCCTTCCTTAGTGGCGCTTGCTGCCAGAAGGGTCTATCGCCACCGCATCCGCGTCGTCGAACCAGCGGGTGATCGAAGTATGATGTACGGTAGTTCGCTCAAAGCAGTTGGTTTAGTACTGGCGGATATGACTCCGGAGACGATTATCGAGACAGTTCTGGTGGAAATTGAAGCACCTTTATGAACAGCGTCTTGCTAGAGCTAGAATTCATGGCAGTATATAATTCTAGAAACGCGAAAGGAAACAAGGCTGGAGGAGACGAGATACGGATTCGGCTTTCTCTACGTGCAAACTGGTTCTTCTGGAGAGTGTGAACCCAGAAAGTCTAACAACAGATCTATCTGGTACGTGGATATTCATTCATGTCTCCCAGGATATTTCAACTAACCAAAAACTCTCTCCCTTTAAGCCTGAATTTCCCTGGTAATTCGTTAGGTTCTTCTTCAGGGATGTGGAAAGCGTACTAATATTTTGGGCACCATTAGCCTGAAAATCCTGAAGGGTTTTAATTTATGTATGATTTTCCGCGACAGCTAACGTCCCTTTTCGGCGAGTGCCGCCAGCATGGTATCAGGGTCGCTTGATACAAATTCTCTGCAAGAGCCCCTTGAATTGATAATCGGGCTTCAATTCTGGTTTTTGTTTTCTTTTGGAGCAACTCTTTGGCAGTTCTCGTAACCTCTTCCCTATTTTATTCCCAACTGTTGCAATCAGCTTTGTCTTAATAACTAGGGGACTTTTCGGGGTTGCTATTTTCATTTCGTACAGATACCCCTTATTATGTCCGGGAACATTCAAAGATTATTTAGTACACCTCGCCCAACCACTGTGATAATGCATCGGACATTGTCTCTAGACACTTGGGTCTATCCTATCTTGCCATGCACTACATGTCATTCCTATCCCAGGATACCAACCGTTTAGTATAAAATTGAGACATTAGTTACCCTGAGGAAGAATGAATGCCATTCTAGAATACCCAATTGAGAAATGGATTCCCTAGGGCGATAGACTTGTCTAACAGATTGACACGATGTGGTGAAGGCCCTCATGACTGACTTTCATTGTCAGGTTTCCACTTTTCAGATCCTGGTTGACATGTGTGTCAGAGAGCAGAACAGAGGTCCAGTGATTTCTCACTGCTTCCAAAGTAGGCGCGCTCTGAGCGAAAAACACTGTCTGATCGCCCTCGCAACCAAGATCACCTTGTCCATCCTTAGCAACCCACCACATCACTGTCCTCAATCCATAATACATCCTCCATGACACAGAACATAATACGGAGAGGGAGGGCATACTGTCCTTAACAGCCCTACCTTCTACACCACCTTACATTCAAACAAACCATCTAATGACAGCATGCTTGACACAGAGGTAGACTACGACTATGACGCATTCAAATACCCTAAATTTCATGTAAGTCATCTCATACTGTCGATTTCACAGATTCCTATGTATGCATTACAGATACATATGCTAATCACCCCTTTTTCCCAGCTCCCTTATATAGTCAGAACCCCCAGCCCCTCAAGCCTACCCTGGTCCCTTACCCCCGAATTTTACCACAAAGACCGCGAGCATAAACTCCTCAGTCATCTGTGGCATGTGCAGTTGGGAAAAGAGCAACTCCGCCACCATTGGAACATCCAAGCACTGCACGAGTTCTGGCGCGAAAACGGGCCCTCAACATTCGAAGGCAGACGCTATGGTTGGTCCCCAACTTGGATTGTTGACGCTCTCGACTCGCTTAAAGAAGATCTGGAAGGATTTCAGAGGGTAGCGGATCGCGCAGAGTTGAAAAGGGTACGGATGCAGAAGCAGGCGAAGCAAGTTCTGAGACTATCTGGAATAGAGCTTAAGGATGAGGGGTGGACGAGTGACGGCGAGATAAACCTGGCAGTGAAGTTGGCGAGGGAGGATGTAGTGGGTGGGGAAGGGGAGTGTTTGGGGGACGAGGCGGCGTTGGTTAAGAAGATTGTAATGGATAAGGAGAAGGGGTGGGAGAGTTTTAGGCTGAGGGATAAGAAGGATCGGGAGACGATGAAAGACGCGGCAAGACGGAACTTGGAAAAGTGGAGGGACACGATTGAAGAAATGACAGCAAGACGTGGAAATGAGAGCGATGGTAATACTGACTTCGATGACGATGAGACTCCTACGCACACGCCGTTACGACGCCCGTGGAAACTTCCCGTTACGCCCCCTGATCGACCTGCCGTGAATACTTTAGAAACGGCCCGCAAGTCATCCAAGATTGTTCATCATAAGGGCGAGGAGAGAGATCGTCAGGAGCAATCCAGCTGGGTTATGGGATGACATAACACGTTGATCCGTCCTTCTGCTGGAAGTCCATTTTCTAACTTGGGATCCACTCGCTCTCTCTCGCATGATGATGGATGTGAAGATGGTTATGTCTGATATTGAATCTGGGTCTGGTCGGGATCCGATGGCGATCTTGGCGGTGCCGGTTCAACTGCTTTGAACAATAAGGAGTTTGAATATGCGGGTGAAAGTTGCTTTAAGCTTAACCCTCCTGCGTGAGATAATGGGGACAGGAAACTGAGCTATTACAGGATGGGATGGCAGTTATTTGATCCTTACTCTTATCCTTTTGACTTTTGCTCTCTTTGCTCCGGAGACTTAATTTGTGTTAAATACCTTTTCTCTCTCAATTGAGCTGACCCACAAGTTGTGTCTCTCCTTAAGTTATTTACAATTGATGGTGTCCTAAAAGTAGCTATTTAGTTGCGCTCATCAAAACCAAAAACAAGGAATAAGATATTAAAATGTGTAATATTAACCACCCCGCAAGACGCCTAGGTCTCTGACCAAATTAAAATAACGGAAAGAAAAGAAATAAGACAGAGAAGAGATAATGAAATGGGTATAGATGCAGTGTAACCGCTCAGATCATTGGTACAAACCAAATCCCATATGAATCCCATCATGACCAACATCCTCACATCACACCCCATTCCTCACTGTTCCCCTCATCCGTATAAACATTTCCTGAGGCTCATATCCCTGGCCTTTATCACCACAACCGGCACCTGCACCACCCGCACCCACACCCACAAGCCCATCCTCCCCCCTCACAACCGTAACCCTCTTCCACTCATTTAAAATCGCCTCAATCTCCACCCTCTCGTCCTCCACAATAGCATCCATCTTAATGTCATTCCGGTCATACCCAAACGGATCCTCCAACTGCGACCCGATCCCCTCAATACCATACAGCGTAAAGATAACGAGCGAGACGATGGGTATAGTCCACCAGCCCATCTCATCTACCATTGCAAATGGCAACACAGCGCCAAAGAGTGCGAGGACCTGCTTTTGATGAATCAGATGCGCGATGGGAATTGGGGTTAGCTTTATCGTCTCCATGCGTCCGTAGGAATCCGTTAGGATGTTGAGTTGGGCCTGTAGATTGCTGGCATTGGGTGCTGTGAACCAACCTCGGTCTTCGCCGCGTTTTAGAAATCCGTCGACGAAGAACGTTAGTTGGAGCGGTAAACCGAGTCCCTCGTCTTCATATGCCTGCAAGCCCACGGGTAACAGGCTGTCGTATTCCGGATTGAAGACGTGCTCTCCATTGCTAGAACCACCACCCTCAGCGCCGTGACCATTGACACCGCTATTCTCCAAATGTAACATTAGCATGTTGTTTTCCACCGCATGACTAACACTGGCACTTCCCCCTCCATCCCCACCACATTTCCCGTTTACAACTGTCGAATTCAAATTCCATGCTGCACCCCATTCGGCCCTTAGATAATTCTTTACCGCATACGGAATAGCCATGAGGACACGGATCGTCCGCTCGACATCGTTTTTCTCGGCGAGAGTGAGCGGGCCGCTGTGTCTATTGTAAGCGTGCGTGAGGATTGAGCGGGTTAGGTTGCGGATGGAGGTGTTGATGGCGGCTAGGTTGTTCCGGCCGTCCCAGAAGCGGTTGTAGGAGGTTTGATTGCGGAAGACGAGGATGAGACCGACGACGATGGAGAGGGATGGGATCTTTGTGCGGGTTTACTTTAACATGTTTTGCGTTGTGGGGAGGAGTAATGGGTTGGATTTGCTTACTATTGACGCGGGAAGACCAATGCTGTCGAAGACGTATTTATCCAGATAGACTATTAGGGCTGTAAAAATACCGTGCAATACCACGGGGATGAGGATTGACATATGCACAGCGCCTTTTATAAAGCGAAGGACGAGGGGCCATCTATAGCCAGTGCCAGTGTCAACGTTTTTGACTTTGTAGGTCGTCTTTATGCATGCATTCTTCCAGTCAATGGGAAGACAACGTATAAGCGATGGGGTAGCATGCGGAATGGGAATTGCATTGGAGGGTACATCTGCCTAACTAACATACCTTCGAGGTTTCGATCGGTGCGATTTTCGAAACGGATATGTTGGTCTCCGGATGTTCCGCCGCACACTCGCGTTAATTGTTCCACCAACACCGTTTGTGGCGGGGTTCTCCAGTGGTGGTTCAGTGAAACGCATGGCTGGGTAGGGATTGTGATCTCCAGTATAGAGACAACAAAAAGGCAGGGAGTAAAATTGTGGTGAATGTGCTCTTTTATTAATTTTCATTTCACTTCATTTCATTTTATTTTTTTCTTGTAGTCGTTGAAATCAGAGTGGACCCTTAAAAGCTTATAGGTTATTAATAGTTACTTCGATAGTTAACTGGCTAAGCAGTGATCCTATTCTATCAGTCCGGAGTTTTCGATGGTTTGGCCGAACGCACGAAAATACGGACAAAATTGGGGACAATCAATGTATATATAGCTAAATTCATGTAAGGAATCATCACTATTCTATTCAAATCAAAGAAAGGTTGGGCAGAATGAGCGGGATATTGGTCATGTAAAGGGCAATTACCTTAAGTCTCGCTCGGCTTTTGGTTCTATTTGGGCTGGCGTTTTGGATTAGGATACGATTGGCACAATGAAGCGGGGATGAGGGGAACGCAGCGAAGCAACGTCAATAATGGTTAAACTACTATTATTAATGCAAGGTAAGGTTTTTGAAGTGAGGGATTAGATCAGGGAACCTCGACAATTTATGTCCAAAAATACTCGCTCAGAAAAATATACGCGTATCAAAAGAGTGAAAAGTGGACATCAGGGTGTTGCAAATAGATCGCTCTGTGTTCTTTATGTCTATCTGTAATAAAAGGCAGATCATCCCCTCCCCCGACATAGAGTGGGTGACACGACAGATTAAGGCGCCCTCTCCCCCCCCCCCCCCCCCAAAAAAAAAAAAAAAAAAAAAAAGGTTATTCAAATTTCATCCAGGAGCTAACCATATATTTGATGATTGATGTTTGATCTTTTGGGTGTGCCATGCATCTGTCTGTTTGATCTGTCCGCTTGAACGCTATGTGAAATAGAGAAATAACAACTAAAGGAGAGTACTAAAAGGCAAATGAAATTAAAATAAAAAGCCAAAATAAAAGGGTAATATATGATTATGGGAGAAGGAGACCTTTGATGAATTCGACTCCAATTCCAATTCCGGCTCCAAAACGAAAGAAGAAGAAAAAATATGAATGAACGAAAAAATAATTATGTAAGGTTGGGAGGGTGGGGGGTTTTTCAGGGAGGTGAGAGGAAGTAAGGGTGGAATTTATAGAATAACAGAGGAAAGCATAGAGAAAAGAAGAAAACGCTCAGACCATATATAGTAAAAATTATTTCATCAATACCCCCCGCTCATCCCTGAACATTCCCAACAATTACCTGATGCAGACGTAAAATGATAGAAAAGTAAAAGATATGTGCCATGAATGATGCAGAAGACAGTGAGAGAATCATACCATATTCCAGCTGACAGTGCTTGAATTGGTGAAACACACAGACAGAGAGGAAGCGAGCGTAGAGCGCCACGTAATCGAGAAAATATATGTTGGTAGATGTCGGACAGTGGAGATAGCGAGGATTCACATGACGATCAATCAACTGGTTGTCAAGCAGTTAGGAGGCTATGAGTAATGCATTCACAGATGTTTGAATGCTCAATGTAGTAATGAGCTTCAACAAAACAAAAGTTAAATCACAATCCATCAAAAATAATCTATAACCGACCCGCATGACCGTCAAAAGCCAATGGACCAAAATCATTCCGCGGTGTCAATGGGTTATCTTCAAACATCTCGCTTCCACCATTATTTCCACGGGAAGCGGTTGCCACCGCTGTAGCAGAAGCACCTCGTAATGCCGATGACGATTGGTTTTGCGGGTGGTTCCAGGTTGGTATGTCTATGTTGGAGCTGCGCGGAAACATATCGCCTGTACCATGGGCGTCGCCTACTCCATTTGTCGTTGGAGCTGTGTTGGAATTCGAGGTTGAGTTTTGGTTCGACAGAACTGTATGCTCTGCTGGAGCTCGCGAGTTGGTGGCTGGAATGACCGCGTTAAGCGGATTATTTTCATCAAGGTTTATGTTGCCGGTTGCAGTGGTTAGCTGGTCATTGTCTGACGACAGGATAGTGTTATTGTCGTTAGAGGATGATGTAGATTGCAGTATTGTCGAATTGCGGGCGCCGGTATTAGAGGTACCATCAGGATTATCTTGTACGGGTTGATTTTGGGAGTTGGAAGGTTTAGGGTCCACCTGGTCGTCATCAAAGGGTTCGTTGGAATCGTCTACTTCGGCGCTAAGATCGGTATATGCGCGGCAGTTTGGACATTGGAACATAGGGTATTCCGGCGAGTGAATTAGCCGGCGAATGCACTTATAGTGCCAGACGTGAGCACATGCTGCCATAAAGAGACATTGATATGGTCGCTATATTGTCATGTTAGCTTCAAACGACTACTCCCAAGCAATCCAAACATGAAAGGGGCCGAGGAGAACGGACCAAAACTGAGCCAAGACATATTGAGCATTCCTTACAGCCGGCGTAATCTGCCGCGTTGTTGCCTTTCCCAAGATTGTTAATTAGAGACGCCGTAGTTTTACTGTCAGTTATTGTTAGTATGGCTACCCCCGGCCACAAAATATTAAAGGCATCAACAACAGCAACATACTTGAATTCATTCGCTTTCTGCTGCCACGTCCGGTTGCACTCGATCCGCATCCGTACACATCTGAAAATCATCTCCTCCCCTCCCCTAAAATCAATCCCAAGCTGTAGAATATCACCATCCCTCACAGTATACAGCCTCGAAGCCACATTTGGTTGACTCAGGCGCATGTGGTTCAAAAAAGTTCCCGAGGAGCTACCCACGTCTCGAATATGCCATTGGCCATTAACGAAGGAAAACTCACAGTGTCTCCTGCTTACGACCTTGGATTTAAAGCCAACAGGTGCATCAGAGGGTTCTGTTGGATTATGCACGGGAACCCCATCACGCTCCGAATAGCGCCCCACTCGAATTACAGAAGACTCGTCCGGCAGGATCCTCGAGGTAGTCGTGAAGGGCAAAGACGGTCGTGAGTTCTGGTGAGGGTCCTGATAGGCGTAGAAGCGGATCATGGGCTTTGGTAGAGGAGGTTTGCACGTGGGATCAGAGGATGGGGGCGAAGCAGTGTCCGGTCGAGTGGGTGAATCCATGGGCACTGGTGTGCTGTTCTGTGGAGTAGTATCGGCGGAGTTTGCAAGTCTGGCCTTACTGTTATCCTGAACCGTTGGCGGTGATGACAGTGGGCTCTGTAATGAGTCCTTGTTAGCCGGCGATACCTCTACAGCAGCTATATTCCGTTGTCGCACCATGTTGGATGGCTGTGGTGATTCAGATTCAGGGTCGTTGGATGGAGTAGATCGTGAAGAGGCAGAGGATGACTGGATGTGTGAATGAAGGTCTGAAACGGATGAGCCGCTCACGCTTTGTATCGGCAGGTCCGTAGAGAGCCTTGGGTTGTTTGTTTCAGGACATTGATGATGGCCTGGTGTTGACTGGACAGGCGAGGCTGGCGTCGAAGTTGTAGTTGTAATGGGACCGGTCGTTGGGACGGCGTCCACAGCGAAACCCGAGGGTCCAGTAGAATGCAAAGAGAGACCAACAACCCGTGTAAGGTTATTTCTATAGGAACGATACCCGCTGGAGGCGTTGCCAGACAGATGGGGTTGAGTGTATGCTCTGAGGTTGCTTAAGCGGCGCAGTCGACTGGGGCGTGAACCTGGGGCAGCTGACGAGGACGGGGACTCGAGGGAGGGAAGGCTGGCAGCTGTGGCGGGGGTGGAGGACGTAGACATGAACTCGAACAGACTGCACTCAGCAATTATAGCTGCTGCCGTGAAAGCCTTGGTCGAGAATACTGGGGCGGTGCTCAAGCAAAGTTTGTAGTTCCATATAACTGCGGCAAATCCTTCGTGGGAACTAGAGATCGACAATGTAGCTTTGCCATTAGGCAGCCAGGCAGAGGGGTCGAATAAGAGAAGGATGCAGAGAATGAGAAGGAAAAGCGGATAGAATCCGCAACAGGAGGAACCAGGAGTCGAAGAGAGATTGTTGTGGTGCGTATGAGTTGAAAGTAGTTTTAAGTTTGAGGTGGAGTTGGTTGAGAGTTGGGGAGAGGAAAAGTATTTGACGTTTGGAGGAGGATTGAGACTAAATATAAACATCGTACTTTTAAATGTCTATCGAATTTCTTTTTAACGCTCAACAAGAAGAGATAGTTGCTGTAAAATAATAGTATCAGAGACAGACAGTCCGTTGATATATTTTTTTTCTTCTTCTTCAGTTTCCGTTTCTCTTTTCCCTCTATCTCTGGGAACTGGTCAAGTTAGAGAGGACATGGTCTGGCTGGCGATGATGGCGCACACTGCGTTCGTCTGCAAAGGTTGGTCAATAACTACTATTTAATGCTATTTAGGCTGCTCGATCCCGAGGCAGCATCGTTTGTTGAATTATTTGGACTGACATGTGGTGGTATAACTGGATTTCAGCTTTAACCAGATCTTTTCGGCAAACAACTCTCTCAGGCTCTTGGAATGAGACCAGAGGAGACACAAGCTAAGCTGGCTATTTAGCTATCATGAAAATATGCAGCTATTTAACTGTTCCATGGACTGTCGCGGTCTTTGTCACGCTGAAGCAGCCAAAAGCGCCTACAAAAGTCCGTGTTGGGTTTTAGTTAAATAAATACTGACAGAAGTGAAGACTTGTACAATACATTAAAAAAGAGGAGAAACACACCAAGGTCATTTTACTCTCCTTTATGTCCTCTGACAATCTCCAGATTCTCCAATCTTGGCTAAATAGTTAAATAATTCTGGGGAATTACTGGCATCCATGTCGCTAGAATTTACAACCACCATACTGCTTGTTGTGCACAATCGTATCCATGACATGGTGGTCGCCATCGAGATATATCAACTGATTTCTCCTTACAGACAATATCCAACTACGATCAAATACCTCCGGGAAATGTCTGGGCATCTGCTGCAGATCAGTCCCTTTCATGGTTCCCAGAGGGAGTTCTAGTCCAAAGTCTGTCATCTATCGGCTTCACTCAATAACTACAGTTATAACTATGGAGTACACCCCATGCTTCAATCAGTCTCACATAACTTATTATTAAATCAGCAGAGTCGGGGATTTAGATACCCAATCCACGTCAGCAGGAAAAATCAACATCTTGTAATTTTAATTTCATATGTATTCGCCATCGTGATAATCGTGATAGCTGGGAGATCTATGCTTCCTCTCCGGCGTGACGCTTTTGCCTTCATCTACAATCATATAAATGCGATATCAATATAGCCCTTCAGGGCGATGTTCTCTCCTCCTCCTCTTGGCTTCCCAAAATCTACAATCACGAAACTGAGCACGAAGCAATTGAATGAAGAAGAGACTCTCAAAAACCTAACTCATTCTACCTACAGTTCATATCGGCCCAGTGTTTGTATCTGGAGATAAAGAAATCATATCTATCTCTCAAAGCATGCAATACAATAAAAGTCTGTGGACTGCAGCCTCTTGGACATGATATCACTGTCTCGAATCATTTTACTGGATTTCCCATTGAGAGCGGCAGGGAAACCTGTCGTCCGCACAATCGTTGACAGTTTAAAGTCACTGGACCTAGCAGGCAAACCATCGGAGTCTTCTCAATTTGTCGCTGGGATGAAAGAGACTGAATTTCTCAAGATATTTCTGAGAAATTGGTGCCTCCAACCCCACGCATATTATTCCTCAAATATACGTACGACGAATTGTCTAAGTTCTGGAACCCATGCTTTTTTTGTAGTTGGGCGGTTTAAGAGAATTGAGGCAATTCCCTTGCGGAAAACTTAAGTTGCACTAGGACTTCCGTGGCCTTGAACTTAAAACAAGAGATGCTCAGGGCATAGTAAACCCGGAAGATACCTGGGTAAGTTTGGTTTGCCAAACTAACTCCTCCGAGTTTCTTTAAGGGAATTACGGTGAAGTCCAGGAAATGTTGAATGAAAGCCCACTTCTCTAGACAACGTACACACAGCATCAAATATCTAAAAACTAGAAGGGGATATAATAAAACAATTATATACAAAACAGTGAAATTTCAATGATCAAATTTACAAATCCAAACCAGAAACCTCGGGAAGAACCAGCCAACACCGGAGCGCAATATACCCAGGAGGCTGCTGAAGTGATCGAATTCCATAGGAGGAAGTTTTCACGTCCTTACGACGCATATAAAACTGACACACCTACACTTTTCCAACCATACGAACTTAGTCCACCCGGAGCCACGGGCGACGCATATGACAGCGTAGAACGCGATGCGGGTCCAAGAGCAACGCCAGCGCTGATAAGGAGCTCTTTAACCCGGCCTTCCCACAAAGCACGGATATTCCAGGACTGATCAACGCGGACTTTAATCACGGAATCAGACGCATGGGAACTATTATGGCCTTCCTTATGGAAATAACTGAGCTCATGCTCAGGATTTACAGAAACTGCAGTATCAGGAACGCCCATTTTCAATCGTGCCCAGGCCAAATTGTCCACCGCGGACGGATAAATATTTTGGGACTTTGATTTGCTACGTCGCCATAGTTCGCATCCTGCTACCATCTCGCTCTCCCAGCTGTAGACATTGAAGCCAAAACGAGAGCTGAAGGCGAGATTGGGGGAGGCAAGGAGTGAATATGTGGTTGACATGGAACCTGTGAGGGGTGTGAGAGTGAGGGTTAAAGTGTAAGGGAAGGCGGAATGAGCGTTTTCGGTTGCAGCCGGTAATGTGGCGAATCGTAGACCGGTGGAAAGGCCAACAACGGAGGACACTGGGGAATAGTATACCTCCCCGCCAGCGGAAAGCAATGAGAGTAAAGGTCGACTGCGTTGAGATGCGGGATCTCCACGTGTCGGTTTTCTCGGATCCGGTCCGAAGTTCCATAACCCCTTGAACCCCAGCAAAGCATTGTCCGTACTGAACAAGAACTCTGAACTATATTTCCCCGTATCGTGAAATATCTGGGTTAGTAGGGTTGCCTGGGGTGCAGACTTGGATGCCGGCGCTCGACTGGAGCAAACCGCAAGGGAAAGCTGAGTAGTGGATGATAAACGGCAGATAAATAGGCCTGTCAATGTGGTTGGCGGCGGCAGATGGAGTGTCGCATGTAATAAAGTTGGTTTCATTTTCGGATTATCCGCTTTACTGCGAACTGCGGCAGGTATGCCGCTATGGTCATTCGCTGTAGGGTATTCAATGGGTATTGAAGGGGGGTAAATTTGTCGGTATCCAGGAACAAGTTTTCGAAGAGGAATCAGGGAACTTCGACTTGGGGTATTGTGAAGAGGTATCGTTGTAAATAAATATGATATAGAACCATCTATCAATCCCACCGTACCAAGTGTGTACGTTGTCGCAAAATGAGGGGTTGACAATGATGACAGGTTAACTTTTAGCCGCTCCGGCGTTGAGAAATCGAGGAGAGCTATGGATTTAATGTAATTAATAGCTATTATACAATGCAAGTTTTGTCCATGGTGTTTGCAACAACATACCATTTGCTGTCGTTGTCAGCCGTGAGTAGGAATTGTCGCGGTTCCACTTCGATGCATCGTAGAAAGCGAGTTGGATATAGTCCATGAAGTCACACATAGTGGAAGAACGTTACTGGAACTCCCCATAGGTTATTCAACAGCATCACCTGAGACCATTCATACAACTGGGGTGGATAGATACTATTGCTCTCGTATCATGTACATCTAAAGGAGCTCTGAGTATACACAACGATCAATTTGACGTTTGCGACGGCGTCTCTGATCATAGCTTATTTCCTGTTTCGTACTAAACGTATTGTTGCCCGTATCAACTTTTTTCCATCCCCGTGAAGTTTAATTCTCAATATCGAAAAAATTAACGAAATCCTCAAATAAGTTGAAGGAGACTCGAGAGAGACGGAGATGGAGATAATATGCGTATTTCATTCACTCCACTAATAAAACCCCTCTTTGGTCTTCTCTCTATGATCTAAGCAAAGTCGTTTCTCACATCACATTTCCATATCCAACATGCCTATCTCCAAACGGGCGCGTTTGGTCCATGAGTCCAAAACCGCCAAAAAATCCCACAAGGAGCAGACTCGGCGACTCTTCGCCAATATCCAAACAGCTGTCACTCAATATGACCACATCTTCCTATTTTCAGTGGATAATATGCGAAATACATATCTAAAGGAAGTTCGCACCGAATTCGCTGATTCCCGGTGTGTATAAGTCCCGCCCGCAGAGCAGGGCTTTCCAAACTATATACCTCACTCGTGTACATGTGTCTCCATAGATATAATAAACCCCCCCCAAACTAACAAAGGAACCTCCAAGCCTATTCTTTGGCAAAACAAAAGTGATGGCCGTCGCCCTAGGCAACACCCCCGAAACCGCCTGCGCCCCTAACCTCAACCAACTAACCCCCTTCCTAACCGGCAACGTCGGCCTCCTCTTCACCTCCCGCTCCCCGCAATCCGTCCTACATTTCTTCAACTCTTTTCATCCCACCGACTTCGCGCGCGCGGGCACCGTCACAACCCGCTCTTTCACTATCCCAAGCGGCATCGTATACTCTCAAGGTGGTGAGGTTCCAGCAGACCAGGACCAGCCAATTAGCCACACGATTGAGCCGATGTTGAGGAAGTTGGGGATTCCGACGAGGCTGGTTAAGGGGAAGGTTGTGTTGGAGGTGGAAGGGGAGGGGTATCAAGTTTGCAAGGCTGGAGAGACGTTGGATTCAAGGCAGACGACGTTGTTGAAGATCTTTGGGGTTGCGGTTGCGGAGTTTAGGGTTGAGATGAAGGCGCAGTGGAATCGGGAGGATGGGTCTGTTGTTATTTTGGAGAAGAAGGATCAGGTTATGGAGGGTTGAGTCGTTTGTGGGGAGGATCATTATTGTCGAGACGATGTGTCCCAAGGAAATGAATGAGGTATCCCATGACTGGTATGTTTATGGAGTCGGAGTAAGGCGTTTTGTCTCATTTTCTTTTTAATGTTGCATATTTTCCGTTAGTTATGGGACTTCTAACTCTGGATGCTCCCTTTGGGCCTAATGAAGTGCAATTCTAGAAAAGAAAATTTTTCCTATATAGCTGAACCATGATGGTCGTTCCTCTACTTGAACTCAAGGTACCTATCATGAAAATTGGAATGTGAATACAGAAAACAAGAAGGGGAAAGTAGAGATCACAACAAAATTAACGCAAAGAAAGGGAAAAAGAGAAAGGAAAGAAATCATGCAAAAGATAGGGCTATCGCACAACATGCGAAGATCAATGCAAAGAATATTTGGACTAGCCAAATAGCCTTACCTGATCTTACCTCAAACATCAATTAGAACTCTTTATTTCTGTTTTGAGTCCTCTCAATTTCCATTTCCATTAAGCCCTAAAATACATACTTACCCACTGTTAAAGTCAGGGGCGTAACAAAAGAAAGGAGAAAGATGACAAGTGAGGATTTATCATGTCCCCCACGAGGGGCTAGGGACAACGAAGGAAAGAAGTGAATACAAAGCCATCCAGTTGAGCCGACAATCTTGCATAGAGGGGGTGACACGATGTAGGTAAGAAGCCTACGCCATAATCGACTATTGGCGAAAAGAAGAATTAAATCGCGTGGGGCGTACGGATCGTTAGATGGGGTGTCTTATCTCGAACACGAACAGGAGCAGAGCTCAAACAATAATATCAGGGCCACGAATAACGATTTGTTCATGAGTACCTCGGACCTTACCCTGGACGAAAAACGGGAGTGAAAGAGAAAATCGGAGAACAGAAGATACCCACCAACAAACCGTTTGTTGTGAAAATGAGAATATAGGGCAATTCAGTATCTCCTTTTGCTGCGGGGGTCATCGTAGTCGTCACCGTCGTGGTATCGTTTCCGGGAAGACTCATCATCCCGTCGCCTATACCTATCCCTGTCCCGATCACGGTCACGGTCTCTATCGCCGCGATCCCTTCCACGATCTCCCCGGTCCCGGTCCCGATCCCTGTCCCTGTCCCGATCACGGTCACCATATCCATCACGAGGTCTTACCGGCTCACGATTGCTTCCCGTTACACCACGAGGTTCCCGATCATGTCTGCCACTTGACCGATGTCCTGTTCTATCATCAAAGCCGCCGCCTCGTCTACCATCACCATACCCACCACTATTATCATACCCATTTGTTCCACCGCCAGCCCGCCCCCCGCTTGGTCCAGAAGGTGCATTTGGTGGTGGTTGACCTCCCGCACCGTTTGGTGGACCGAATCCACCGCGTCCACCTTGAAATCCAATTCCTCCTCGTCCACCATATCCACGGTCACCACCACGGAATCCCCCACGCCCAAAGCCACCTCTCCCACTGAAGCCCCCTCCGCCGCCACGGAATCCACCTGGACCAGAAGGTGCGAAAGCGCCAGGACCCATAGGACGAGCCGGCATGGATTTCGTATAGCCTCGTCCACCCAGCCCACCACCAAACCGGCGTGGTTTCCAACCTTTCACAGTACGCCCGCGTTCAACATCGACTAAAACGCGGCGGTCTTTAATACGGATACCATCTGTCTCTTTGTAGGCCGCTGAAGACTCCAAGTGAATTTCGATAGCATTAGTTATGGGTTTCATTACCTTGCCTCGTTATTATAGTGGAGGTTGAAGAAAGAAACCACGAGTAATTATTACAAAGAAAGGAAAGGGGGGAGAGGGAAGGAGGGGGAGGAGATGTTTGCAAGTGTTCGGGATTCTGTACCCTTCATGTCCTTCTCGCGTTCGTAGACGATAAACGCATAACCTCTGTGGGGTTTCTTGGGATTTTTCTTTGGATTATGAGTATCTACGACAATGCGAATCTTCAGGTGTAGGTATGGATGAGTTAGTTTATGTCACTTCCGCAAATAACATGTTGAAAATAATAAAACACATACCCGCTCGATGGGGCCGAAACGACCAAATTCGCGTTCCAAATCAGCTTCAACCACGTCGTAGCTCAGTCGCGATACGAAAAGCGTCTTAAAAGCGTCCCCACGAACTTGGGGGTCATTGTTGGGGTTATCTATCGGATGCGATAATAAAGCGCGTCAGCAGGAATACTTGAACGGATACCATGATTTCAAGCGCATTCCAGTTTAGAGATTTGGAACAACATACATTCCTTGATACCTTCAGTGAGAAGCTTTTCGAGCTTAGCTTTCCTTTCCTCCTTCAACCTCGCCTTGCGTTGAAGCCAGCTTTCAGTAGCATTGTAAGGCACCTCCTCGCCATACTTCTTCAGCTCGTCAACAAACTGCGCAACTCCAGTGATGTTACTTGGTTCTTTGTCCTCGGGAGCGCGATCTGTTGGTGGAATATAGCGTAAGGGAGGACGAGGCGCGAAGAGCGCGAGGAGGTTTGGCGGAAGCTTGTCTGTCATGGCTCATAGGTAGCTATTCTTGAGGCTCTCGCTGTATCTCTGATGTTTCCCCCCCTTTGCAGCAAGGCAGAGGACGACAACGCGAGAACAGGCCGAGATGCAGAAAATGATGTGTTTCCACGCTTAACCGCAAACGGCTTGACAGTCCTCAATACACATATTCAAGCAAAGAGAGGTTAAGTCAATGAATGATGTTAACTCCATATAGTGCCCAGCGTCAAATAAAAAGGCAACTTCTCTCACTACCACTTTAGGACTAGCGTCTTGGTTGTGGCTGAATAAGCAATTTTAGTCATCCAGCCAATCAGCGTCCAGTTTCGCACTTAATATCAAAAGTTGAGCTTGTCAGTATCTCCGCAGCTTAAATAAATGAATTGCGGTGCTTGGGATGTTGGATGGTGGAACACACACAGAAACATAATCCACAGCAATGCCTATCCAGGGAATTCCAACTGTGGCCGCCAGCCGAGTATGTATTCCCTTCTTACCCAGCAACAAAATCCCACAGAAACTGACGCAAATTGCGCTCTGCAGAATGGCGTTGGCGCGTTTATCCTCCAGTGTAAACGGCTCGATTTCCATTATTGCGACTGGGCCGGTAGCTCAAGAGGGATGAAGTGAGCTATCTACCCTCCTAGTCCTCTACGGAATACCTGCAATGACCCGTCACCTATGCTGTATACCTTCCTCCAATCAAGGACTCATTTCTAACATTCTCACCCCCAGCGCATTCCTTAAATACACTCTTCCCTCCTTCGCTGCCGCGAACCCCCAAATAGAAATCCGCGTCTCCCCACGACCGAAAAAACACCCCGTAATCAAGGGCTACTACATCAATGGACGTGAAAAGGCCATCTGCGTTCGTAATCTGGAAAAGGAGCAGATCCTTGCCAAGGCAACATTGCTCAAGGAAGCGAACGGGGAGAAGCTGAGGAGAGTCAGGAAGCCCGTGTTTAGTTTGAATGAGAGTGTGAGGGGTGTTTGGAGTCCTTATCATGGCGATGTGAAGACGATATGAGATGGGAATGGGATGGATAGGTATATGGGTGTGGATGGGGTTTGCTGTTTGCCAGAACAAATCCCTCTTTTTTAAAGGGTTGGGATGGCTATTGTTTTATGTCTATCGGTATTGGTCTCGTTGCTTATTAGGAGTATATATTTGCTTTGTTATGGGTTGGATCGGCGGATTTTCATAGACTCTTCAATGCCTTGTGTTCTGAATGAAAATATCAAAGACAATGTCGCCCTTTGTTAGAACATTCCTATGGTATATTATCAGTTATCAGTCCTGCTGTGCAATACTCTATACACACCATAAAGCTTGGATTGGTCTGTTGGGACTTCTATAAATCAAAAATTTTTATACAAAAACCAATCCACAGGATTTCATAATTAAACAAGGTTATCGCTGTTGCCACTACCATTAAACACTCACTCTAAATACTCATGTGCATCACTTTCATATAATAAAAAATAGTAAATGTGTACAGATCATGATGCAATTCCATATAAACCGTCGCTATGCTTGTAAACAGTGAATAGGAAGATGAAACAAATACTGAAAAAGAAAAAGAAAAAGAAAAAAAAAAAAAAAAAAAAAAAAAAAAAAAAAGAAGGGATTAAAATAAAAAGGGAAAAAAGAATAAAAAGGAAAAATCGGCAACATTAGAGATAGATTTGAAACATCGCGCGTGGCTGGCTAATCGGCTTGCCACAGTCTGGAACGACACATTTTGAAAATGGTTTCGTTTTTGACGGGCTGGTGTTGTCCGACCGTTTTCTGGACATCGCTCGGTTTCTTGTACATTGGCCGCAGTAGACCTGAAGAGGACGGTTAGTTTATAAATTGAAGCATTGATTTTTATTTTTATTTTTTATTTTTTTTAATTTTTATTTTAATTTTTTAATTTTTTTGACTATAGGGGATCGCGTAAGAGAACATACGTGTCCACATGGTTTAGCCACCCATATCTGCCGCTGTAGATCACCGCCAGTGCCTAGTTCATGATCGCAATTTGGACAAACGACAACCTCAGACTCCCCAACAGTCCTTGTAAACCCTGGTGGCGGTGCTTCAGGTGCCGTATAAGCAGGTGACTGTTGTGTCTCTCCAGGCGTAATTCCTGCCGCTGTGTAATCTAACTCGACAGGGAAATCTTCATCTATGTCAACCTGGGGCCGTTCTCCGACCCAAAACGGTGCTATGTTGGTAGGATATGCTCTGGCCAGGTTGCGGGTTCTAAGCCCGATCTCTTCTCGAAGAGCATCCTGCCTGCGAAAATAAGACGGAGGCCCATTTCCACGAATCCTCCTAATCATGTCCATAAGGCTTGAACCTCTCAAGGGTGGGGGGCCTTCTCGATTTAGAGGGGCAATGTCATTTGATCGGGTTAGTGGAGGGCGGACTGTAGTACCTAGAAATTGTACTTCTGGGCTTGAAAACTGTTGTGGCTCGTTTGTACTGGATGATCCTGCCTCCAAATCAACAACATCTGTCATTATATTTCTTCCAAATCGAGGTGGACGTGCAATGCGTCCTGGTCGTTGTCTTGGGGGGGTTCGGGGAGGCTGGTCTGACAGAGGGTTATCGGGCTCATCTGTCAAATCGATGATGTTTTGCTGATGAGGAAGAGGTGGAGGAGAAAATGTGGGGGCTGATGTCGTCGCCATTATTGGTCTCCTGAAGTCGTAGCCGTCTCCTGGAAATCGCATGTACGGGATGGGTGGGATCGCTGGATGTTGGACTGGGAGAGGAAGCCGGTAGTTGCTGTTAGAAGTAGAAGGCTCTGCATGATCCCATGGGGAACTACTTTGGCTGTGAGGTTGGGAGCCTAGCATCTCATGGTGAGGTCGCTGGAATGGATGACAAAAATTAACCAGCTGTTAGTTTGAGGGTGAAATAGATGCTTGGATGTGGTGGTGGTGGGCGGTTGCGGTTAAAAGGTGGCGGAAGTGACGAAGGGCGTCCACGCTTACTTTTCTAGACTGCCGGGCAGCCAAAACATGAATATTCAGGTCTCCATTCATGATAGATAGCTAAGTGGGAAAAGAGAGGGAAAAGGGCGCCGTGGTTGGAGGTGAGGTGGTTGTCAGATTGAGGGGTTGAAAGAAGAGTTGTCCAACGTCGGATGAGAGTTGGTTTGGTGGTGGTTCGAGTCCACTAAATGGTTCTGCTCTCCTCCAAAGTCCCGGTTGAGCCCTCATTTGTAGCCCCCAACAATCAGTGGCAATCACGGCTTCAGCAGAGTGGCTACAGAGAAGAAGACAAATTCTAGCAACGCAAATGAACCAACTGAGCAACTTTGGGCACTGTAAGAGTCGTATCTATTGCAAGCTATGCCAAGGTTGTTAAGGAGGAATACTCCCGTTGTTGGAAGTTATAACTATTGAGGTTGAGAAGAGAATAACAAATCTCCTGTAACGTATTAACTAATCATTGGCGCCAGCAATTTCAAACAAAAACAAAATATAGAATGCAAAATATGTTAGAATACAATTGACCTAACAACAGAAACTGTTATAATCATCATGGTTTTGACTCCAATACCGTAAGAGCGCCCTCGGTATTCAGCACGACTATGCCCTGGGCTGATTTCCTCCATTCCACCGCAAGTGCCGGGACTGCACTCCTCAGAGGCTCTGACCATTGCTTGGACGTCTTGGAATAGTGCCGTACGGTCACTCCATTTGGTCCGCCTGTCAATAAAAATTGCCCGGTGTAGTCCCAGCTGATGGAATCCACTCGATTTCCCGTTTCCAGAACCTTCACCTCAGCTGACTTGCGCAAATCCCAAATTGAGACGGTAGACGAGTTCTCAGTCACAGATGCCAGCCATGTGCCATTCTCTGAAAAGAACAGAGCTTTAAGAGGACCGGTAGTATTGAAATTGGCCGCACTTGCTCCGGTCCTAACGTCGAAGATCTTAATTTGCCCGTCGGCACCGCCAGCAGCGAGAAGGTGGCCGTCAGGATGGAATTTGACACAGGATAAAGCTTCAGATACAATTAGTAACCAGTTGGCAACATTATTCCCGGATTACGTACCAGAATCACAGTAGATCTGAGTGATTACTGCATTTGTCGTAAGATCGTAGAGGACATAACTTTTATCCACACCTACAGACGCGAGGATGTCACCTGTCGCGTGGGCTGCCAACGAAATGGCTTCTCCTGCATGAGAATTGAAACTGGCAATCTCTGTTCCGTTTTCAAATAATTTCACAGTGCCAGTGGATGTTGCGACGGCTGCCTTGTCTCCTATCCATACAGCATCTGTGACGGCGCCCCCAACTTTCAACGACGACACTATCTGCTTCTCAGACAGGGAATATATCCCTGCTACTCCATCGACACCTCCCACCAACGCCAGCTCACCAGAGGAATCGAGTGACAAGAACTTTCCTCCAGGATAAAGCACTTCGGATGTCTCTGTGGGTTTGAGCTCTTGTATGATTTCCGCCGTTGCCCATTCCTCCGGAACAGTCCGTTTGCGACGTGTTTTCGATAACCTGTGTAACATTAGAATCGATCGTAGGCACATACTTCTGTTATCGGGGATAGTAGCATACTTTTCTTGTGTAGCATCTATCCTAGCAATGACAGCAGGCAGTAGCCCAGTGCTATCTACTTGCATAGCGTCGCCATTGCTGGGAGCACGACCTGAACCCACCGAAACCTTAGACAATGCGTCGCGAGCCTCATCTCGTTCCTTTGTGAGTCTTGCAATGACTCGAATTGCAGCGTCGTGTTGGTACAATGCGGTACTGAGTTCTTGTCGGGTCTGAGCTAGGGTCTGTCTCAAAGTATATGTTTCAAGCGCGAGGGAGTCCCATTCTTCCTGGAAAACTCCTAGGAGGGACGGAATTGATGTAAGGGTGGGAGGACGCGGTCGAACAACTCGGGCCGATTTGAGCTCCACGAGATCTTCGACCGTAAGATCTTCGCCAGTTACTGGATCTTTGCCATTTTCTGAAACATAGGCCTCGATAAGGCGCTTCTCAAAAACATTTCCTGGGTCAATGTTAACATGACAGCTGTATCTTTGGGAGTTCGAAGTGAGTGAAGGTGGAGCTACAAACCACTCTTTCGCGAAACTACAGGGACCTGAGGAGCTTCACCAGAAACTATATGGACATATTAGTAGTTTTCCAACATAACCGAATGTTGTCGAGAAGACTCACTTGCGCACAGCATGGTTACTGATCTTGTTCGGTGGGTAATCGGTTTGAGAAGACCGCCAGAGCTGTCGGTGTTGCCGGTGTTGTTTCAATGAACGACCTACGGATTTTGGAACGCGGAGTTAAGTGGTTCCGCTCCGAAGTTTTGATCAAAGGTAAGAACTTGGAGATCTCACCAAATCTTCAATGAGAAAAAAAGACCACATTAAAGTCTCTTGACGGTTCAAAAGTCCCATTCAGCAGAGTACGTGGTCACTTTTGAAGGCTATTTGGCAAGGTTTTATATGAGACTTTATATACAATTTGGTTGTACGCTGAGACCTAGATGGCCTGAACATCGTTCAACAGCTTCGACCGTCCGAGTCTCCGGGATGAGATCGCATCGGAAGCAATGATAAGTTTCTCAAATGCTCTCCGCTCCCTCTAAATGTGATACACAAACACTTGAGAATCTCTCTGTCCTCATATCCATCTGCTTGCCATGAGTTTCAATGCAAAAAACCTTACCTACGGTATGTTTTGATACACTCAACTCGCAGACTATTTCTGTCAAGCTATTCTATGTAGTCTAACATCTGTATACAGACAAGAGGGAGCCTGCATTTCTTCGGAAACTACGGAGAGAATATGACAATGGAAGTTGTGTTCGCGATGATAGACCAAAGCCGCTCCCTATCAAAAAGAGGGATGCTGATGATGATGACGCCCCCACATACGTCGACGAGGACAGCAACGAGGTAATATCTAAAGAGGAATACGAAGCACTGGTGAGGGGGAATGATGACAACAAAGTCGTGGAGAACTCAAGAAACAACAGAGAGGATGCGAGTGATCAAGCCAAGTCAGCACAAGTTGAAGCAAATGGCGAGGCGTCAGTAGAACGGCAAGGCTCCAAGACCAAACAGAAGCAACAAGTTGTGGAGATTGGTGGAACAAAGAAACGAAAGCAAGGAAAAGTAATTGGACAGGAGGCTACTGGCGAGGATGCGAAGAAACCCCAAGCGTTACGGAAACCGAAGCAGAAGAAGATTAAGCTCTCATTTAATGATGGAGACTGAGCTGTCCTATAATCAATAGATTGTATTTGTTCTAAGATGCTAGCAATACCAATAATCTCCAGTAGAAATTTACTGATCTCCGGAATTATTTATGTATTTCCTCCACGTAGGATATAGAAAACAATATGTTATTCACACTTCCACTGCATCATAGTTTTACGTTCCGTCGCAGTATGATATTACTATGGTGGGCGTCCAGGGTGGCGCTCTTGAGTGGGCAATGACTAATCACCTTTGTGAAATATAGACCAACAGCAAAGAATCGCAATGAGAAATTTATATATGTACATGGATGGGAAAATATTCAACCCAAACAACTTCACGTATTTTCCGTTGTTTTGGAGTTATTATCTTAGATTTTAGATTGTGCGAACATCGGTTCCTGGGACTCGCAAAGCCTATAAGCCTGATTGGAGAATAGGCACTAGGTACTGCCCATCTTTTCTTGCAGTGCCACCAAATCTCTTTGGTTGCTTCTCACAAATATTCTCTATTTGTTTGGGGTAATTATATGTCCAAATGCCTGTAGTTAATGTGGAAGATCTTGTCCGTCTTCAGCAGAAGGCCCAAGATATTAGAAATGCATGCCTACCCTACCCCACTACCAAACACCTCTCCTCCGATCAACCTATACCACACAAACTACATATGGATATGGGCTAACGTTTCTAATAGATATGTATCCTTGCTCATGTCGTAAGTGGACTGAATACCCTGGTTTTTTGAAGGGTCAGCTGTTGAGATATATTCCGCTTTAGGATCACGGAAAGACGTCCGTAACAGACAGCTTGATTGCCACAAATGGCATCATCTCACCGAAGATGGCCGGGAAAATCCGCTATCTGGACTCTCGTGCGGACGAGCAGCTTCGAGGAATCACGATGGAGTCGTCTGCCATATCTCTCTATTTCTCCATGCTTAAAAGGGCATCCAAAAACGCCGATCCGGAGCAGAGAGAATACCTGATCAATCTAATTGACTCTCCAGGCCATATTGATTTCAGCAGCGAGGTATCCACTGCTTCCAGACTATGTGATGGTGCTCTTGTTCTAGTAGACGTTGTCGAAGGCGTTTGTAGTCAAACCGTTACTGTGTTGCGGCATACATGGGTTGAGCATCTCAAGCCAATTTTAGTCATCAATAAGCTCGATCGACTGGTAACAGAACTGAAAATGACTCCCACAGAAGCGTATTCGCATCTCAGCAGGCTACTTGAACAGGTTAATGCTGTCATCGGAAGCTTCTATCAAGGTGAACGCATGGAGGAAGACTTGCTTTGGCGGGAGAGAATGGAGGAGCGTGTCAACGCTGCGACCGCCAAAGAGAAAGATCGGACGATACGGCTTACGGATAACATATCAGATACCACCTCTCAGGCCGATCCAGGGGAAGTTGAATTTGAAGAGCGTGATGACGAGGATCTCTATTTTTCACCTGAGAAAAACAATGTCATATTCTGTAGCGCAACTGATGGGTGGGCTTTTACTATTCGTCAATTTGCACGCCTATATGAGAAAAAACTAGGTTTTAAAAGGTCTCTTTTGGAAAAGGTCCTATGGGGCGACTTCTATCTCGATCCGAAAACCAAACGAGTCCTTGGCCAAAAGCATCTAAAAGGACGTAATTTGAAACCGATGTTTGTCCAACTTGTTCTGGAGACGATATGGGCAGTGTACAATGCAGCCACTGGGGATGGCTATGGAAAGGGGTAAGATATTCTCTTCTCTATTTTTCTTGTATCAGCTAACAAATTTGGCCAGTGATCTGGCCTTGTTGGAGAAAATCACTAAATCTCTTGGGATTACAATTCCAGCCCATGTATTGCGTTCACGAGATCCAAGGAATACCCTTTCAGCCATATTTTCATCCTGGCTTCCGCTTTCAACAGCCGTCTTAGTCTCCGTAATCGAATATCTCCCTAGTCCTCCAGTTTCGCAAGCGTCAAGGCTCCCGGACATGATCAAAGACTTGCCGGGCTCTGATGCCATTAGTCCAAGAGTGATTGAAGCAATGGTCGACTTTAAAAAAGGGAAAGATGATCCAGTTGTGGCATATGTGAGCAAAATGGTTTCTGTCCGCGAGAGTGAACTCCCTCAAAATACGCGGCTACCGGGAGGTATGCTAAGCGCGGAAGAAGCACGGGATATGGCCAGGAGGAAACGAGAGGAGATTGCGAAATTACAGGCACAAAGTAATGGAGAGTCACAAACTGATAGTTTTGCCCAAGTAACGACCGCCTTCGCAAGCGCAAGCATAGAAGAGACTGATCAGGCCCGGGTGGAAGAAAAGGAAAATCCTGAGCACCTCATCGGCTTTGCACGAATATATTCCGGCACACTCTCTGTTGGGGACTCTATATATGTTATCCCACCAAAATTTTCACCATCACATCCCCACGGGCCGCCTACACCGCAAAAAGTGGAAGTAAAAGCTCTTTATTTGCTTATGGGGCGAAATCTGGAAAACTTGCAAAATGTTCCAGCGGGCGTTGTTTTTGGTATCGCTGGTATGGAAGGCCACGTTCTGAAGACAGGGACACTGTGCAGTCAACTGGAGGGGGCAGTGAATTTGGCGGGAGTTACGTTGTCGACTCCTCCCATTGTTCGCGTCGCGCTCGAGCCTGTGAACCCTTCAGATTTAAATAAGATGATCACTGGTCTGAAGCTGTTGGAAAGGAGTGACCCCTGTGCACAGTACGAAATTCTCCCCAGCGGGGAGCACGTCATTGTCACAGCTGGGGAATTACATCTTGAACGATGTCTGAAAGATCTACGAGAGCGGTTTGCCAAGTGCGAAATTCAGGCTGGAGAGCCCATTGTCCCTTATCGTGAGACCATAATAAGTGCGCCGGAGATGGCGCCTCCGAAGAACGCCGACCTTCCTCGTGGAACCATACAAAGTATCTCAGCGTCAAAACAACTAACTATACAACTAAGGATACGACCTCTACCCGCGGAAGTAACTGAATTTTTAACCAAAACTGCAGCTACAATTAAGAAATTCTATGCGGAAAGGAGGACAGGAGCCAACAAGGACGTCACAGAAACTAACACCAGCGGTGAAATAGATGATCATATTGATATAAGTAATGGCGAGACTGCTGTTAGGAAGATACTTTCCCTTGAGGAGTTTAAGAAAGAGCTGCAAAACAAGTTCAATGAATCCAAAGAAGAGAAAGACACCTGGAGGGATATTGTGGATAGAATCGTCGAGTTCGGCCCGAGAAGAACAGGCCCTAACATTCTTGTCGACTCAACGTTAACAAGCTTGTGTGATAAGCTGTAAGTTACGCTAAATTAAAGTCTTCCTTCTCTTCTATATACACTGGCTGATGCTCAATTCAGATTAATACATGACGCATCGCAAAGCACATCAAATCAAGTGCCTCAGCCTGCCTCACAGGCATCAGCAGATCACCAGCGACGCAGCATGAACCTCTTCTCTGATAAGATCTCATACGCATTCCAACTCGCCACTTCGCAGGGCCCCCTGTGCAACGAACCTATCCAGGGAATTGCTGTTTTCATAGAAGATGTCTCTGTTACGGGAAAAGGTGAGGAGGAGCTTGGCCGTCTTACTGGTGAAGTCATCAGATCCGTACGAGATGCCGTATGGCAAGGGTTCCTTGACTGGAGCCCGCGCATACTCCTGGCGATGTACAGTTGCGAGATTCAAGCGTCCAGTAAGTTGGAAACACTACCCTAGTTCCCTATACAATTATACCCAAATACCCACATTCCCCCAAATCCTCAGAAATCATCCGCACATACAAAAACTAACCCACAAATCCCACAAACCAGCCGAAGTCCTCGGCCGCGTCTACGGCGTAATAACGCGACGAAGAGGCCGCATCCTCTCTGAAGCCATGAAAGAAGGCACGCCCTTCTTTACAATTCTCTCCCTCTTACCAGTGGCCGAATCTTTCGGTTTCTCCGACGAGATCCGGAAACGTACCTCGGGTGCCGCCTCGCCACAGCTAATCTTTGCTGGCTTTGAGATGCTGGACGAGGACCCATTCTGGGTTCCTGCGACGGAGGAGGAATTGGAGGATCTGGGGGAGCTTGCGGACCGCGAGAATGTGGCAAAGAGGTACATGGATCGGGTCAGGAGCAGGAAGGGGTTGGTTGTTAAGGGGAAGAAATTGGTGAAGGATGCAGAGAAGCAGAAGACGTTGAAGCGGTGAAGGGGTAAGGGCTGCCTGGGTGTGGTATGAGTGAGGGGGTTGAAGAGGGTTCGGGGTATTTGAGTGGGATGTAATGATTAAGGATTGATCTGTCTCGTCCTGTTTGGAATATTTCTTTGATCTTATTGTTAGGTATGGCTTACGGTAATGGATTAAACAAAAAGAATATAGATATATAAATAACAAAAGTCTTTTAGACTTTGACATTGGCATTTCTTTCACCTCGATTTTATTCCTTTTTGAATTACCGCTCTGTTTTGAGATCTCCAATTACCATTTTCGTTTTGCACAATATGAGAGTTCCGGTATTATTTTTCTCAGAAGGACATGGCTTCCAATAAGGGAGGTATAAACTCTTTTCTCTCAAATCAGTAAATATTGAATTCACCATCCTCAGCAATGACCTTTTTAAAACAAATATACTAACTTGATATCTATAACTTACTTTGTTGTTTTAATATTTTGCCCCCTCTTCCCATTGATCACGCCAATATCATATACCTATCCATATAAATCAACCTCTTTCACATACCTTCATTCTCGAAGCAGATAAAAATCCAGAGTCAAGTTGTAAATACATATAGATATCATAATTTTATCATATCCATTGACTGAATAATGTAATATAGTCTCTGAGAGGTTTCGACGTTCATCATGCTCAAGACACAAAACGGGATAGATCCAAATCTGTCAACTTACATAAAGTAAAAGGTCTATAGTTCTCCACAGTGCCTCTGGCCCAATAAGCTCTGGCGAAGGCCATAAGGAGGATCATCTAATACTCAACAGCTATGAATATGTTAGAGCACCACTTCACAAGAGAAGAAAATATGTTAAAGACATCCATCAATCCGTCCCGACCCTTCTCTTCTTCCCTTTCATTTTAGATGTTGAACACGGAACAAAAGAATCTCTCAGAAAAAGAGAGAAAAGGCCTCCACCAAACCTGGGGTCCCTCCCCTTCAAAACGGCCTAGCAACCTTCCTCCACTCCCTCCTCCCTGTCTTTCCATCAACCATCTCCCTCCAACTAACCGGCACAAGCACATTCCCCGCCTCACTCCTCCCCATAACAACCCCCAACTCATTTCGCGCCGTCGAACAGTAATAAAAGCTCTGATCGCCCAACGAAATCACCACGGCCCGCACAATGTCGCCGACACGGAACATCTCGTCCATCACGACGCTGTCCTTTTCGACGGTGCGCACGTCTTCTTTGCGGATTAGGGCTTGGAAGCGGAGGTCGTCGGCGTTGAGGGGGTCAGCGTTTGTGGTGGAAAGGAGGGAAGGGTCGACGGTGTTGGAGGTGTCGTAGGATGGGGAAGTAGGGTTGACAGGGTGGTTGTCGTCGAGGATGACGAGGATGGAGAGGGTTGCTTGACGTTTCTGGACACGGGTGACGCGGGCGAGGACGATGGAGTCTACCGCAGGGAGGGTGTTGTATTTATATTTTTGTCTTTTCGTAGTGGTAGTTGCTACTGATGTTGTCGTCGTCGTCGTCGTCGTCGTCGTCGCTGCATTTAATTGTCGTTGTGAATGTTGAGTTCCATTTATCCTAACCTGCTGTTGCGGCAGCTTCCCCGCATCTGCATATGCATCATTGACTGTCTGCGCAAAAGAGCGTGCGATAGTTACCAGTTCCCTCCGTTGTTTGGTGTTTGCTTGTTGCTGTTGTTGTTTCGACAATTCCTCGATCTTTTTGAGAATGACAGGTCCAGCGATCGAGGCGCAGACGAAGGAGTCTTGGATGTGTGTTCCAGGACCGGGAATGAAGGATGAGGCGGGGCCTAACCGTTGACCGGGAACGGCTATTGAGGGAAGTGGAATTGCCATCTATATATGTGGATGAGTGTTTAAATGTGTTGGTGGAGTATTACCCTCAACGTCAAAAAGGATGGAGGGGGGAAACAGTCGTCGGGATTATGATGATGGGCCAGCTAAACAGATATTATTTGTGACAGAATAATTACAACAATGGAGAGAGTAATCTTTCTAAAAGCTTATCCTTTCGTAAAAGCTGTAAAAGAAATACAGAAAGCTAGCTGTAGGTTGGAGGATATTTTTCAATATGTGATTCGTCCTACGTGGATTTTGATCGGAAGATGTAAAACCTGGCGCGCAGCCAGAGCCACTAACATTAGACGCGCGTCCGTAGGGAAAACCTTGGCTGCAGTTAAGCGGGGGATGACGTCACTTCAGAGAAGCTCAGATCAGGCAGGGATATTCAATCAAAGCTACTATGTATACAAGCAACAGAAACGAAGAATGAAACAAAGATAAACTCAATAGAGAATTTCAAAAAATATTTTTGCTCTGCTACTAACCTAAATAATCCAAAGCAGCAGCTCGTGAAAGATGCACATTTATATATATTGATAGCTGGACACTGCACATACTCTTTTCTCTTCTCCTCAATGGTATCTGAGCTGAATAACCCATACCCATTTCTCTAATATTAATAACAATTTAAGTAAGTATGTATTTGTTATATGTATCTTGCATGGACTGTAAAAATACATCCTGCACGGACAATATGCAACTCAACCAACTCTCCTCAACCCTCACAAATCCAATACCATACATACCATTGACATCGACAAAGAAAAGAAAAAGGAAAGAATAAGGAAGGGGAAAGGAGAAGCTGTACCAAAGGGAATATGTGTTATGGAAAAAATATAGGAATAGGCCAAGAGGCAGACTGAAGCAACAGTCAAGGATACAAGTTAAATAAATCCCCCCCCTCGCGCAAACCATATAATAGAAAAGGAATACTGAGAGCAGAGAAGAGAAAACCAGGCCAAAAAAGAAGATAAAAAAGTAGGGATGACTAGCTCCCATTTGGTGGGGAAAAAAAGATGTAAAAGGAAAGGCCAGCCAAGCGCAGAATAAAGTGAAATAAACAATGCACCCACCCCGGTAAAAGAACTCCTTGCGGGTTTAAGAAACAAGGACACAACGGGGGATGAAAAAAAGAAAACAATAGCAAAAGTAATGATAAAAAAAAAATACCACAAGCACATTACCGCTCCTCCATTTATGTCACCACCACTCACATCACCCATCAAGAAGAATCTGCTTAGCCTTCTGACCCAAAATCTCCAACGACCTCCTTGCCAACGCCACAACCTCTCCCTGATCATCCTCACCACCCCCTTCTCCGGCCCCTTCCCCTTCATCCCCACTCTCCAAATTCTTATCCGCAATCGTCTTAACCATCTCCACTACATCCTCCGACCGCGTAATATAGCCATGCAACCGCTGATCCCCAGACTCAAGAAGCTGCAATAGCGTCCAGATGGCGATATGTTGGAACGTCGGATCCCCGCTGGCTAGGAAGCGACTTAAGTACCCGTGGATACCGCCGTTCGGTTCGGACCAGTCGCGGACGAATATTGAGTAGTCGCCCACTAAAATATAGGTTTGTTGATTTAGTGCCATCCGTTTGTTACAAAGGGTAGAGGGAGCGAAGGTGGGATAATCATATCATACCTTTGGACGACAAATTTCCCAAAGCAGCTGCGCTATTCCCTTGAACTTCTATGCTTTCCGAATCTGTCAGGGGTATTAAAACATCAAACACGCCCAGTTTCAGCAAATGGGTCTTCAGCTCATCGCTCAGAGCAAGAACAGCAATTGCAGCGGTCATTTCCGACTGTACGCTCAGCGGAACTTTTAAGACAAGCTCTTTGCACTTCTGCACTGCGCCTGCTTGAAGAACGAGCTCCTTATTTCGATCTGAACTAGCTGCCAGGTTCCGTAAGGTGGAAATGGCGTGGCACTGGATTTCTTCATTGTCTATCGAGCCTAGTAGGTCAACGAGTGGTTTTAGGAATCCCGCGTCAATGATTGGGGATTCGTTGTGGGGATGGATGGAGATATTTCGGATGCATGCAACTGCGGAGAGGATGAGAGGGAGATAGGATGATTGTAGCAGCCGGAGCAAAGGTGCAAGGCCTCGAGCACGGACGATCTCGAGTTGGTACTTTTCATCGGACGCCAGATTTCGAAGAGCTAAGGCAGCTTGGCATTGAACTTTCGGGGTGGAGGAGTCCATGAGCTGAACGAGGGATTGAATAAGCCGAGATTCTGTCTGGGCGAGCCTTTTTCTGTTTTCTGCGTCCACTGCGATATTACTTAATGCAGTTGTGCAGTAATACTGGACGTCGACATCCGGTGACGAGAGGAGTTGTACCAAAACGGGTATCGCACCGGCGATGACGAGCTGTTGCCGGTTCTCGTCTATCGAGAAAGAAGAAAAAAGAAAAGAAATATTAGATTATATATGGGCCAACTGTACGTATTTTGTATCAAGAAGTGCCATACCGGAATGGGTCATGTTTAGCAAAGCTCCAGTGGCATTTCGTTGCACACGCATGTCCTTGGATCTTGCCAATCTTGTCAAGGGCCCAAGGGCACCTGACCTGGCAATTTTTGCTTTGTTGTCCTCGTGGGTGGCTAGATTAGTTATGCAGCCGACTGCATTGCATTGTACTTCGACGTTAGGTGACATCATTTGTCTTATTAGAGGTGCTAGTCCCCCGAGGAGAACAATATTAACTTTGTTTTCCGCTACAGAATGGTCAGCGTTATTGCGTAAATTTTCCACATAGAGTTATTATATGAATGGGACGTACTATTAACAGCGAGATTCCCCAGCGCTGCACTAGCAGCACGTTGAACTTCGATATCGGGGCTTTGTAGGAGGAAGAGGATAGGTTCGAGGGTTTCTCTGTTTACTTCCCGGACATCTACAGCAAATACCGATGTCTTAAATCAGCATACAGCAGAGTAGAAGACGTCTTTACTGCAATCTTAATAATAGTGAAGTACGAACCTCTTTCTGTGATCTCTGCAAAAGTCAAGCTAGCGCTTCGTTGGAGGTCGACATTGTCGGAGTAGACGAGAGTACTGAGAGCACTCAGTGGCTCTCCGCTGAAGAAGTCGGTTTCATTCCGCTAGATTTTATCAACAGGTTTAGTTGGTATCACATAGGAAAGGGAGTGGGGGATAATAATAATAATAATAATAATAATAATAATAATAATAATGGAAAAACGTACGTTCTCGAGGTATTGTAGAAGATCGGCGACGGCCTCGCGTTCGTTATCGGCGAGGATGGGTTCGTAGAGACCGTCTCTGGATCGACCTTTGAAGATGGGAGCCAGCAAATCAGACAAATGGCACCATCTATCTATCTTGGAGGAGGTACCTGTGAGGCAGGCTAGACAAGCATTCCCCATCTCTTCCGCGGGATGGGACCGGTCACCGCAAAGAGAGAAATCCAAGTATCCTCTTGTCGCTGATTGGATGGGGAGGATAAGAAGTATCGGCAGAGCGCAGAGTGGACTTTTCTTTGTTATCTAGTTTTAATATCTGCTTCAGACAGATTTATGTATGTATGTATGTATGGCTGGCCTTTTCTTTGGTTTCGTTTTTCGATGTATTATTATTGCGTCCTGGGCGGCGGACGGATGACGGAACTGTGATGGGACGAGACGAGACGACAGCTGTGGCTGCGGCTGCGGCTGGTTGAGGATCGAAGAGACTCGTCAAAACTGACTGCAGGAAATCGCGG